TAGGCCATGGCCAGCTTTGCGCTAGTTGGGATGGGACGGGTATAATCAGTGTTATTTATTTGAATAAAGCAAATGCTATAATTAACAATAACAACCATGGTATGCATATTGGTGTATTCGATATCCCTGGCTGAAAGGAAAAATTTTAAAAGAAAACAAGAAATACTTGAATATATTCGAAAAGCGGAAGACGTTTAACTAGAATGTCGTAAGAACTAGAAAAAGTAGGCTCTGCCGAATTTTTGAATTTGTGTATAGTCGTTTCTATTTAGCATAGAAGTTTTTTGCTTAGTCCATAACTATTTATTCGTGATACGTTTCTCAGTAAGCTAAAGGCAGATTCATATATAAATCGAGATGAATTTGTTAGAGATTGCATCAGTTTCGGGTATCATCGCCGGTTAGAGACAACGTTATCGATGTTAAGACCTTTCCTGGTGGCAACAGATGCATGTCAGTAAGCATAGAATTGGATCTTGAGAAATATTTCAGAAAACGGGAACCGCGCTAAAGTATGCTAAGCAAATGTTTAGAAGTCATTCACTCCACTCTATAAAAAGTCCTACTTATTGTATCCGTTTTACCCCTCTGCTGTTTGTGAGAGTGAGATGAGGCCGAAAACTCGTTTCACACGAAACATATTTTGATGATAGGAAAGTGTATATCTGTAACTGTATCACGTAACGTCTCGCAGGTTTCATTTAGTTCGTAGACATATAGGTGTATCAAGCCAAGTATTTATCTTTGGATTAAGCTTTCTCAATTGTTTTGGAACACCACTGTTGGACTGAGCACGTGTTCACACCGGTATCGGATATGCAGGTGCATATACGGTCTTCTGAAAATGTGTCCGATGATTTAGTGTGCAATCAAATTCTACACTTCAGACTGGTTTTTGTTAAGTCTCTCAGTTCGAAGTGAAAAATGCATTGTCGTCCGTCGATTGAGTGCCTCTAAAAGGCTGCATCTCTGGAAAAGGTATTTGTCTCTTCCTTCAGTCAATGGTTCAGTGAATTGCTAACTGCACGTCACTTGTGCTATTGTGGTTTTTGAATTTCAGGTCGGATCATGAATGATACATGTAGGTCTTTCTGTGGACTGAACGAGACAATCAAAATTATTGTGAACGTCGATTTTCTTTATTTATTGCGGAATGATGACGATACCTTGAGTTCGAGCTTTTTGGATGATATTTATTTGTCCATCGAATGGGCATCAGGGTTTTGTTAAAAATTTTGGTGCAAGGAATGGACGAAGATACTGTTTGGCTGCTGGATCCGCGCTAAATGATAACACGAATGACGCTGTGAACCCAACTTTGATAGTTGGAAACTGTATAGTCGTATGTTTTTGTAAAAAGGACACTTCAACTAGAACGTTGTTGTTTTTGTTCCAGTTTCTCCTCTTATTATTATTTTGTTGTTGTTCCATCTCCATGTTAGCCGCCGCTCACTTTATTTTTGATTTAATAAGATTCGTCGTACTAGCACACGATCATGATGCCTGACGGCGTTGTGTTTGAACGTTTGAAACATAATTCAACATGTATTTTGTGTGTGTATTGTTGCTATTATTGTAGGAACCTTCTTTGTACACTCAGAAAATTTTTTGTTCGTAAATAGAAGAAGATGATAAAGGAGAATTTCGAGCACATGGATAGCAACGACTTTCTTACCGATTCCATAATATTTATATGCCAATATGTATAGGTAACGATTGATTAGTGGCATGTGTTAAATGTTCAGCAATGAATATCGAATTAACAACTAAAGCTATTACACGAGGGGAATGGACAAAGTCATTTTTGAGGCAATAGCTCCTATCAGTTGTTAATGAAAGAGCCTTTGACTATTCGGTCAAAAGTAGTGCTATTTAAACAGATGTTTCCGTGTCGTTGTATCTATCTGTTTCCTTGTTCTTCTTCTCAGATTGTGTAGAAGGGGAACAGTTAGTCGGTCATTTCGTAATAGCTGAACAAGTCACATACATTTTTTATGTGGTCAAGCATGAATATGGTAAAGCGTCATGTTTTTGAGATTGAGTAGAAGATACTAGGTCAGTCTATATTCTTTAGTTAATTTATTTATTGAAAAGAAGATACAAATACGATGGGAATATGAGAGTGGGTGGTTATAAAAATACAGCACCAACCGCGAAGAATGCCTTGTACCTTATAGCTCATGCAGCAAGACAATAATCTCCATATGACTATATGGCTTTCTATATGGCGAGTGTTTCGGGATGAATTAGATCCTAACAACAGTTGTAGACCCTCGTATACCCTACTACATTCTAGTAGAATAAACCACGTAATTATTCGGTGGATTTTTCCCGAAATTCACAAGAAGTCATTAGTAATTCATATTCGAGCCCACCTGAATTTTGAATTTTCAAAAATCGTGTTTAAATTCATATTCCTAGCTTTCTTGGTCTTTCGCTCAAGCTGCATGATAAATTATCTTACCGCGAACGACATTACCGCGAAGATTCCTTTATTGGAGAAGAAGAATAAACGAGCCTGGTTTTGTATTTTGTATATCATGTTTTGAAACCTGCGCGAGTTATGTAGTTAATAGTCATTATGTGATACAATTACAGATATCCAGTTTCATTCCTTATCGTGTTTGACCAGTTATCTCTTCGGCACACGATAAACTGAAGCTCACTGTTCATAGCAGTGTGGAACCCGTGACACGACCCTTCCGCGATCAGGACCCCGACTCTTCCACGGATTATACTATAGCAATATAATAATAATTGTGAGAGTGAGTTCGAAAAATAGTTTCGCACAAAACATATTTTCATGATGCGGAACTAGATACCTGTGACTGTATCCGATAATGACTAGTCACCACATAACTTCAGTTAATCGTGGATTATACCCATTATAGCGATCCATTATGGCCATTATGTCGGTTATGCCGATTATGTCCATCATGGTTATAATGACAAAGTTGCTAATGGGACATTTCCTACATCGCCAGCATTATTTACCCAAGCATATTACATACATGTATGGCATGAATATAGTATGAAATCAATAGTATATGCATGTTGTGAAGATAAATCTCAAAACGGTTAACTTGTTTACTTCGGTCAGTAGTTGGCTACGCAGCACAAAAAAATATTGTTTTAAGTCTATCGTCGATATTAATAGATTTTGAAAAAGCTGCCATTAATGCAATTAATGATGTATTTCCACAAACATTACTTAAGGGTTGTCATTTTCACTACGCTCAAAATGTATGGAATAGAGTTAAAAAATATGGTTTGGTAAAATCAGCAAAACAAGAAAATATTCGTCGCCAGATAGCTAATATTATAAGTTTACCATTAGTACCAAAAGACCAAATTAATGATTGTATCGAAGTAATAATTGATGAATTATGTAATGCTGATTAAAATTTGATAAATTAGCAGGTTATACTTTAAATAATTATACTGAAGATGCTCGTTTTTCATTTGATATGTGGA